AACTCGACCCCATATACATTCCACTACGGAGGAAACCCGGAAGTGAGACAATCCATCGCAACGGACCCCAGAGTTTAAAAACACACCGACGCTTCATCAGAGGCTGCACTGAGGATGTTACCAAGCACAGTAACGAAACGTCTGTGGAACAACAAACCAGCTCGGCAAGCCAACCAACCTCAATTTCAACTACATTCTACATTCCACATGCGAAAATCAGCATCAAAGCCAACTGCAAGTCAAACCTTCACTTACTTTTTGGAAATACGCTGCCTCAAGTCCAACCTTCAAAAATTTCACATTTATTTTACTACTTGCAACATTTCTCTTTCGAAAGTCTGCCACCACAACAAGAACATCAGTTTAGTGCAAAGTATAAACAGTTTTGTTCACACCAAAGATTAAAGGGAAAAGAATATTGGTCAGGATTGGATTCAAACTGTCAGAGGTAAATGATTACAAAATTCAGACTTTGAAAATCATGTACTAGAAGCAACTTAATGCACTGTTAAAATGCTTCAGGCGCAAAGTTCATTTTAGAAATTATGGATTAACAAAAAGAAACTTGTGCTTGACAGAAGATTTTATTGAGTATGTAACTATAACAGGAGCTAAAGATGGACTGGTGGATGTTGTATAACTGAATTTTCGGAACAGAGAACATTACAGCGCAGTACAGGCCCTTCGGCCCTCGATGTTGCGCCGACCTGTGAAAGCAATCTGAAGCCCATCTAACCTAAACTATTCCATTATTCCAGACAGTAAGAATAAAAAGAAATTTTTGGCACTAAACTCGAACAAACAATTGCAGATGCTGGAGATTTGAAGCAAACACAGAGAATGATTCAGAAAATGAGCAGGTCTGATAGCATCCGAGGAGAGAAAAATAGAGTTAACATTTCGAGTCCAGTGACCTTTCATCAGAACTGAAAGCAGCTGGGAAATGATGGTATTTACGCCGATGAACTAGGGTGGGGGAACTAAGTAGAATACATGGAGGCTGTGCTGAGAAGGAGGGGGGAAGAAAAGGAGATACAGAATGGATTGCTCGTGATAAGCCAAGACGGAGATAAATGCTGAATAGGTGCTCATGAGAAACGTGAATGGTTGAAAATGGGTTGGCTGTGCTGAGTAACCCATATAAAACAGGACCTTGCAGTGTGGGGGAGGGTAACGAACATGGAGAAGGGTGTAATGCTGTGAGTTCTGACGGCTGAAAGGTATGAAGGTGGAAGATGAGGTGTTGTTTCTCTAGTTTGCATTGCACTTCAATGGAGCACTGCAGCGGATCTTAGACAGAAATGTTGGCACAGGAACACGGTGGTGCATTGAAGTGGCAGGCAACTGAAAGCTCGGGATCATTTTTATGGACTGAGCGGTCACCCAGTCTGAGTTTCATTTCCTCATAGTAAATTGTAGGTCATTTTATGGGATTGCTGGATGTAACTCATGGAGTGCTACAGGGAAAAATGCTGGGCTTGAACTATTTACAATGTATAGCCAAGATTTAAGTAACATATCTTAACTTTCGGATAATACAAAGCTCAGTGAAAATTAAGCTATGAAGAGAATGTAAAAGGTTGCAAAGGGATTATAGTGGTTGACCAAGTTCAAGGCTGGTTGTGTGGAATAGGGGAAAATGTGAAATTATCTACCTTAGAAGGAAAAAAATGAAAACGTAGATATACAGAAATTGATCATTGTTAGGATTCAGAGGGACAAGGGCAACCTTATAGACGAATCATAAAAGATTAGCATACACATACAGCGAAACAATAAGGAAGGCAAATTATATGTTAGCCCGCATTACAAAGGGATTGGAGTATTAGAATAAGTGGTCTTGCTGCAGTTACATAGGACTTTAGAGAGACAACATTGGGAATATAATAGAGGTCTACAGCAAAGAACCAGGTCCTTTGGCCCAACTTGCCTATTCCATCCAGTTTTCACAACTTCAACTAGTCCCATTTGCCTGCACTTGGTCCAGAACCCTCCATACCTATCCCATCCACCCACCTGTCTAGGTGCTTCTTAAATGACAAAACTGTACTTGCCTCCACCATTACCTCTGGCAGCCCATTCCGGACATTTACCACTGTGTGTGAAACAACTGTCCGTCTGGACTCTTTTATATCTTTCCCCTTTCACCTTAAACCTGTGCCCTCTAGATTTAGACTCCCCTACCATGGGGAAATGCTGTCAACTATCTACCTAATCTAAGCCTCTCATGATTTTGTAAATTTCTATAAGGACACCTCTCAGTCTCCTACACTCCACGGAGAAAAGTCCCAGCTTATCCAACCTCTCTTTATAACTCAAACCTTCCAGTCCAGGTAGCATCCTAGTAAATTTTTCCTGACTCTTTCTAGTTTAATAACATCATTTCTATAGAAGGGCAACCTGAATGCACACAGTATTCCAAATGTGGCCTCACCAATATCTTGTACAGCTGCATCAAGATGCCCCAACTCCTATACTCAATGCTCTGACCAATGAAAGCTAGCATGTCAAAAGCCTTCTTCACTGCTCTGTCTACCTGTGACTCTATTTTCAAGGAGCCAGGAACATGTGCCCCTAGACCTCTTCGGTCTCTAACACTCCCCAGGGCCCTATAATTGACTGTGCAAGTCCTGTCCTGGTGTGCCTTACCAAAATTGAACACCTTGCGTTTATCTAAATTAAACTCCATCTGCCATTCCTCATTGGCATTGGTCCAGTTGATCAAGATCTCGCTGCATTCCCAGAGAACCTTCACTCTGATGTAAAGTTTTAGTCTTCTTATCCAGCAAATGACTTGCTTGCTTTACACGAAGTGCAACGAAGGTTCTTTAGTTTGATTGCTGGGATGAAAACACTGTCCTACGACCTATCCTGACTTGGAAATATATGTCTGCTCCTTCACTGTCGCTGACTCAAAATCCTGGAATTCCCTCCCTAACGGCATTGTGGGTCAACCCACAACACAGACTGCACCAGCTTACCACCATCTTTTAAAGGGAAGCCAAGGAAGGGAAAGCCAGTTGGCGATGGCCATGTATCTTGACTGAATAAAAAAAAGTGCCTATATTCCCTGGAGTGCACCACAACAAAATATTATTTTCTTCAAATGGAAAATTCTTAGAGACTTTCTCAAGATCAGTGCTGTGAGGTTCTTTCCCCAAGGTGAAGAGGCTAGAACTAGGGGTCATAGTCTCAGGAGAAGAGGCCAGACATTTAGCACTTAAGTAGAAATTTCTTCACTCAATAGTGAATCTTTAGAATTGTCTACTCCTCAGGGCTGTGGATAGAGTCAAGGAATAGATATCTGTGCACCCAAGGTAATCAAGGGATACAAGGTCAGTACAAGAACGTGGAATCAATATAGAAGTTCAACAATGATGGTGTTGATCATGGTGAAGATTTAAGGGCCTTATGGCATATCCCTGTATTAATCTTAACTCTTCTTATAGTAATTAGTCATTTAATCAAAATGTTCAGAACAGGGTTACTCAGTGTCAAATCAAAATATTCACGTAGGGACAGGAGGAGGCCATTCAGCCCCCGGTATTCTTCCCCAATTCATTTAAACCATGGCTGATCTGTACATCGATTACATTTACCCTAATTAGCTCCATATCCTATGATATCCACACCCATTACAATCCCACTAAGCTCAGTCTTGTAAGCTTCATCTAGCCCACCTTACATAGCATACCAGGGGAAGCGAATTCCAGATTTCATAGTTCTCTGTATGATAAAATGCTTCCTGATTTCCCTCCTAAACTGCCTGACTCTCATTGTAATATCACGTTCTCCTCATTGTTTTCTAATCCGCCCCCTGCACTCCACCAAAGGACCAGTTTTCCTTTATGCACCTAATCAAATCCTTTTAACATTTTAAACACTCCGCTTAGATCAACTTCACCCCACCTAAACAATCTGCTAAGGTAGAAAGCACATAAACTAGGTTTAAATAGCCTACCCTTATAGACTAGGCACCCAATCATTGTGAATCTGCACTGTAACCTCACCAAAGTTAATACATCCTTAAATGGGTAATGCCCACCAAAAGGTGAATGCTGTGTCTAGACAGGGTCAAGCCAAGGCTCCATATAAGCAGCAGAATTTGCTCATATAGAAGGCAATTTTTCCCCTCTCATGAGGTGGTCTGAGAAATATCACAAACAGCAAATAGTTTAGTTTGCCCCGTATCACCACCTCATCAATTAAGTGCCAGGTAAGAAGGTCCATCAGGAACTTTCTTGATTTGC